TTTAAAGAAAAAAATTTCAAAGGACAAACACAAGGCGTGGATTTTTTAAAGATGAATTTTTCAAAGGACGCTAAAAAAAGGCGTGGATTTTTTAAAGAAGAATTTTTCAAAGGACCCTAAAACAAGGCGTGGATTTTTTAAAGAAGAATTTTTCAAAGGACCAACCCAAAAGGCGTGGATTTTTTAAAGAAGAATTTTTCAAAGGACCAACACAAGGCGTGGATTTTTTAAAAAGGATTTTTCAAAGGACCAACACAGGGCGTGGATTTTTTAAAAAAGCATTTTTAAAAAGGACCCAAATAGGCGTGGATTTTTTAAAGAACAATTTTTCAAAGGACCCAAATAGGCGTGGATTTTTTAAAGAACAATTTTTCAAAGGACCCAAATAGGCGTGGATTTTTTAAAGAACAATTTTTCAAAGGACCCAAATAGGCGTGGATTTTTTAAAGAACAATTTTTCAAAGGACCCAAATAGGCGTGGATTTTTTAAAGAACAATTTGGATTTTTTAAAGAACAATTTTTCAAAGGACCCAAATAGGCGTGGATTTTTTAAAGAACAATTTTTCAAAGGACCCAAATAGGCGTGGATTTTTTAAAGAACAATTTTTCAAAGGACCCAAATAGGCGTGGATTTTTTAAAGAACAATTTTTCAAAGGACCCAAATAGGCGTGGATTTTTTAAAGAACAATTTTTCAAAGGACCCAAATAGGCGTGGATTTTTTAAAGAACAATTTTTCAAAGGACCCAAATAGGCGTGGATTTTTTAAAGAACAATTTTTCAAAGGACCCAAATAGGCGTGGATTTTTTAAAGAACAATTTTTCAAAGGACCCAAATAGGCGTGGATTTTTTAAAGAACAATTTTTCAAAGGACCCAAATAGGCGTGGATTTTTTAAAGAACAATTTTTCAAAGGACCCAAATAGGCGTGGATTTTTTAAAGAACAATTTTTCAAAGGACCCAAATAGGCGTGGATTTTTTAAAGAACAATTTTTCAAAGGACCCAAATAGGCGTGGATTTTTTAAAGAACAATTTTTCAAAGGACCCAAATAGGCGTGGATTTTTTAAAGAACAATTTTTCAAAGGACCCAAAGAGGCGTGGATTTTTTAAAGAACAATTTTTCAGGGAGCATCCAACAAGGCGTGGATTTTTTAAAGAACAATTTTTCAGGGAGCATCCAACAAGGCGTGGATTTTTTAAAGAACAATTTTTCAAAGGACCCAAATAGGCGTGGATTTTTTAAAGAACAATTTTTCAAAGGACCCAAATAGGCGTGGATTTTTTAAAGAACAATTTTTCAAAGGACCCAAATAGGCGTGGATTTTTTAAAGAACAATTTTTCAAAGGACCCAAATAGGCGTGGATTTTTTAAAGAACAATTTTTCAAAGGACCCAAATAGGCGTGGATTTTTTAAAGAACAATTTTTCAAAGGACCCAAATAGGCGTGGATTTTTTAAAGAACAATTTTTCAAAGGACCCAAATAGGCGAGGATTTTTTAAAGAACAATTTTTCAAAGGACCCAAATAGGCGTGGATTTTTTAAAGAACAATTTTTCAAAGGACCCAAATAGGCGTGGATTTTTTAAAGAACAATTTTTCAAAGGACCCAAATAGGCGTGGATTTTTTAAAGAACAATTTTTCAAAGGACCCAAATAGGCGTGGATTTTTTAAAGAACAATTTTTCAAAGGACCCAAATAGGCGTGGATTTTTTAAAGAACAATTTTTCAAAGGACCCAAATAGGCGTGGATTTTTTAAAGAACAATTTTTCAAAGGACCCAAATAGGCGTGGATTTTTTAAAGAACAATTTTTCAAAGGACCCAAATAGGCGTGGATTTTTTAAAGAACAATTTTTCAAAGGACCCAAATAGGCGTGGATTTTTTAAATAAGAATTTATTAAAGGACCAATAACGGATTTTTCAAAATGTCTTAAATAGGCATGGAATTTTTTCAGAAGGAGTTTTTAAAAAGGACCCAAATAGGCGTGGATTTTTTTCAGAAGGATTTCTCAACAGGTCATTTTGTAACTGAAATTTAAATTCTATGTCCATATTCCCCGTGCCTCGTGGTTTGAAATACCAACAGCTACCCAGATTGTCTCCCTTACGACTGTCCTATTTAATTGTCTTGCCCTAAATTCATTTCCCCTCCTCTCCTCACAGCTTAGGTGATTAAAAATGTGAATTGTTCTTTGTTTGTCTAAACGATTTTTGACGATGTTTTATTTTTCGATTTGTGCGACGACTTTACAGATTTAAATTTCCTTCATACCTCACCAAATTCATCTTCGACAGCAGCTGTTTTATGTCAATATTGTTAGCAAAGGACAATAGTCTTTCTAGTCCAATTCCTACTAAGCGTTATGAAGTTTCGTTCTATATCACTCCCCACACTTCCCTTAGTCCTTCGCCTTGCCACCCATATCTTCAGCTCGTGTCAGTCTTTGCATTGTCTTATTTGCTGCTGAGCCTTTTGCTTTGATATGTCCAAAAACTTTTGTCTCTGTTTGCTATTTGCATGCACTAATTAAAAAATTCCTCATCCCCCTTCTCCACCTTCTGCCAAGGATGAAAGCAACTGAAAAAATTTTTCTTTTTAGCTCCTGAATTAAAGTTTGGAGCATTTTTGTTGGTGGTGTTGCTGCTGTGGCACACTATTCACTTTACATTAGAAAAATAATTCAAGAAATTCAAATTGTTGTTGGCGAAAGAACAACAACAGCAGCAACTACCACAGTGAATAAGAAAATAAGTCAAAGCTACGAAATGGAAAAACAAAGAAAATTAAACGAAAGAACGACACCGAATATGCCAAAGAAAACACTTCACAATTGAAAGCAGCAACGCCAGGCCGAAAAAAACGAACAAATCTTAGCTTGAGAATGGATCCTTCTTGGGATGAAAAACAAAACTAAAAGGAAAATAATGCCATAGAAATTTATTGAAGCGTTCAATTATTTTAATTCGATGTGTAAATGTGGTCACCGTAATGAGGTCAATAGCCAAAAAAAAAAAAAAAAAAAAAAAACGAAGAATAGCGTTTACTTTTAAATGTCTAAAGGATAAAGAAGTCCTTCTTCATGTAGATATCCACATCCCACTTCGTTGAATGTCCCTTTGAAAAATTCTTCTTTAAAAAATCCACGCCTAGTATTGGTCCTTTGAAAAATTCTTCTTTAAAAAATCCACGCCTAGTATTGGTCCTTTGAAAAATTCTTCTTTAAAAAATCCACGCCTAGTATTGGTCCTTTGAAAAATTCTTCTTTAAAAAATCCACGCCTAGTGTTGGTCCTTTGAAAAATTCTTCTTTAAAAAATCCACGCCTAGTGTTGGTCCTTTGAAAAATTCTTCTTTAAAAAATCCACGCCTAGTGTGGATCCTTAAAAAAATATTCTTTAAAAAATCCACGCCTAGTGTGGATCCTTTGAAAAATTCTTCTTTAAAAAATCCACGCCTAGTGTTGGTCCTTTGAAAAATTCTTCTTTAAAAAATCCACGCCTGGTCCTTTGAAAAATTCTTCTTTAAAAAATCCACGCCTAGTGTTGGTCCTTTGAAAAATTCTTCTTTAAAAAATCCACGCCTGGTCCTTTGAAAAATTCTTCTTTAAAAAATCCACGCCTTGTGTTGGTCCTTTTTAAATTCTTTTAAAAATCTGCGCCTAGTGTTTGTCCTTTGAAAAATTCTCCTTTAAAAAATCCACGCCAAGTGTTGGTCTTTTGAAAAATTCTTCTTTACGCTTATTTGGGTCCTTTTGAAAAATTCTTCTTTAAAAATATGTTTTTAATAAAAAATAGCTTTTATAAAAAATTAAACTTTATTATCGATAACTTATTGGCTAATAAAGTTGACACATTTCTTTAATTACTTAAAAACTATTTGTTGTTGTATTTGAATTTAAGTAAATTTTCAAAAAGAAAGTCACAGAGTATTTTTTTTGAAAGAAATAAGATTGAACAAAAATTATAAAAAATAATAAAAAAAACATTTTTAACAAAACGAAAAATATGACTCAAAAAGAGGGCTGTTTTCAGATGGTCTGGCACATTCTCAAACTCAATCTTCCGGAAATAGGGATTAACTAATTTTTTTTCGATTGAGTTAACCAAAGGACACCTTCTCCATCATCTGCTCCTGCTCGTCACAATTTATTCATCTACATCTTCGCCATCGGCGTCTTGAACGGGTCCTGAGAAAATGTAACTATCACGTCCCTGAATACCAGTACCGCCAGCATCACCCAACCATGGATAGACATTGGGGCATTCGCGACAGGTTTCCATATAACGGGTATCGGTGATATTTTGTTCGGGAATCTTGAAGGGTAGGGCACAGGTATTCCAAATGTTGCAGGGCTTGGAAGCGACAGCCACATTCTTATCACATTTCCAGGAATCGATTTGATTTACATTGCGGGTCTCCTTGGGATCGGTCATCCATTGCAACATTTGAGAGATGGTGACAACATAGACGTCGGGACTGCAAGGGAGAGAGAGAGACAAATGATTATTAACTATAATATGATATTAAGAAAGGGGTCTTGAAATTGCCCAACTTCGTTTTATTGAAAAATTAAAAAGTTCGCTTTAGAAAGTTATCCGAAATATGAGAAATACGAAAATATGAGCCATATTTCCATATACCACCACCTATCTATTTTTAATCTATTCACTACAAAAAAAGTTATGGCTATATCGTCGACCTCCATATCCTTTATATTCCATATTCCATTCCATCTAACCTCAAGTTCCACCTTGGCTTAGGCATTGATATAATCTGACTGGGAAAGCATAACTTCATTACGGAACTTTGTTGGGGAAACAAAACATTTTTTGTTTGACATGGCGGCTTTTGGTTGCCACATCCCATATATAAACATAGGGGAGGATTTTGTCTGCCCGTTCTGGAGATGTGCAACTAAAAAAAATATCTCTGTCCTAACTACTTAAATAGGTAACGAGGTAGAGGATAAGGAAGCATGGGAATATTTTTCACAGCCTCCAAAGAGGCGTGGATTTTTTAAAGAATATTTTTCGCAGCCTCCAAAAGAGGCATGGATTTTTTAAAGAATATTTTTTTCGAGGTCTTCAAAAAGGCCTGGATTTTTTAAAGAATATTTTTCGAGGCCTTCAAAAAGGCCTGGATTTTTTAAAGAATATTTTTCACAGCCTCCAAAAGAGGCGTGGATTTTTTAAAGAATATTTTTCGAGGACCACCAAGAGGCGTGGATTTTTTAAAGAATATTTTTCGAGGACCACCAAGAGGCGTGGATTTTTTAAAGAATATTTTTCGAGGACCACCAAGAGGCGTGGATTTTTTAAAGAATATTTTTCGAGGTCTTCAAAAAGGCCTGGATATTTTAAAGAATATTTTTCGAGGTCTTCAAAAAGGCCTGGATTTTTTAAAGAATATTTTTCAGAGTCTCCAAAAGAGGCGTGGATTTTTTAAAGAATATTTTTTGAGGTCTTCAAAAAGGCCTGGTTTTTTAAAGAATATTTTTCGAGGTCTTCAAATAGGCCTGGATTTTTTAAAGAATATTTTTCGAGGTCTTCAAAGAGGTCAGGATATTTTTCGAGGTCTCCAAAGAGTCCAGGATTTTTTTAAGAATATTTTTCGAGGTCTTCAAAGAGGTCAGGATATTTTTCTAGGTCTCCAAAGAGGCCAGAATTTTTTTAAGAATATTTTTCGAGGTCTTCAAAGAGGCCAGGATATTTTTCGATGTCTCCAAAGAGGCCAGGATTTTTAAAGAATATTTTTCGAGGTCTCCAAAAAGGCCAGAATTTTTTAAAGAATATTTGTCACGGCCTCCAAAAGAGGCCTGGATTTTTTAAAGAAAAATTTTCGAGGTCGCCAAAGAGGCTTGGATTTTTTAAAAAATATTTTTCACAGCCTCCAAAAGAGGCCTGGATTTTGTAAGGAATATTTTATTTGCTTCCATCCTCGTAATTTTCCTATAATATATTTTTTCTATTCGGTTCTTCCTTATTTTCCAACCGTTTTGCAGGTGGTTAACTGGACCATACGAACGAAATTAGAAAAAAACCAACAACTTGGATATTTAACTAAATTAAACTTTTCTCATTAAAACGTGCAAAGGGTTTTGTTGTGATGCTGCTGTCGTTGTTGTTGTAAACGTCCTTTTTTGCTTCGTTGTTTTTTTATTTTAAACTACATTGGTGGTCAGTCGTCATTTACACCGCTTATTTTGCGGATTTGTTTTCCAAGGGGATTTGTGTGGTGTGGTTCTCTTTACTTTCCAAGGAAATTTAATTGCGAACTTTTAAATCTTAAAAAAATCAATACTCACAGTTCCAAAGCCCAATCCAAGAATTTATGCAAGCCATTTTCCAAAGGTTTAGTCTGGAACCAATTGGTGTGCACGGGCATCATATAGGGAGCCTTATTCTGTTCATAGTAACGTGAGAAATCTTCTTGCAACCATTCGAATACTTCATTTTCATCCAAGTTATGGAGGACACATTGATCCAAGAATGGGCAGTGACCACCTTCATAACCTTCAACATAATGGGTGTTCAATGGGACTTCCCAAACGCCAGGGAAGGTCTTGGATGGGCAGGTACCACTCTTACATTCATGTGAGATTTTGTAGTCCAAAGTGTAGGGCCAAACGGGAACAGGTACTGGGGGAACAGTGATGGAGCTGTCATAGATGTAGCCGAAGTCTTCCAAGACCTGGAAAGAAGAATAAGAATTAATTTAAAAAATGAAGAAGGAACAAAAAAGATCTCTTAAGGAGAGGATTCTCAGAGGATATAACATTTCCCACTTCAAGAAAAATTTTAAATACTTAAAAATCCGACACTATCCTCCCTCTTTTCCTCACGCTTAAAACCTATGAAAAGTCACTTCGATGATAACCTTGTTAAGGCTGCTGTTACCACAGCCGTCAGTAACAGTTTTAACGATTTTCCTTCTTCTTCCTCGCCTTCTTTAATTTTTGTGTTTTGTCATTACCCTCCTTTATTATGGCGTTTAATGTATTTTTAATTATTGCCATTGATGATGAGGATGTGACAAACTTTTCCGAACAGTGATATGTCCTTGCCCAGCAATCTCAGATATGCTCTCCAAGAGAATATTTCATTTCAATTTTCAATGAAAAGGACATATTATAATTCATATGTAAATATGTATACGAGGGGTTGTATAAGTACAGTAGGGGACGAAAATAGGGATACAGACATGTTCAAGGACCCATTCACCAAATAATCGTGGATTTTTTAAAGAAGAATTTTTCAAAGGACCAACACAAGGCGTGGATTTTTTAAAGAAGAATTTTTCAAAGGACCAACACAAGGCGTGGATTTTTTAAAGAAAAATTTTTCAAAGGACCAAAACAAGGCGTGAATTTTTAAAGAAGAATTTTTCAAAAGTATAATCACCCAAATAGAGCCTCATATGAAGCGTGAATTTTTTAAGAAGAATTTTTCAAAAGTATAATCAGAGCCTCAAAAGAGGTGTGGATTTTTCAGCGTGGATTTTTTAAAGAAGAATTTTTCACGATTTTTTGTCCTTTCAATTTTTCCCACCACTGTAGAAAAAAATCTTCATTTCACGTTAAAAAAAAAACCAACCGAACAGCTGTGAATCGCTGCAATCGGCGTTCTGTTAACAACTATCTGACGATGTCATTGGACTTTTTATTTTTATTTGCGAATTGTTTGTTGTTGTTGTTGTTGCTGCCAACAGTTTTCTTCTGAGTCCTTCAGTTTGCGGTTGAGAGCATGTAAAATTGGAATTACAAATGAAAGAGCTGTAAATAAATGCTTCTTATTATCGGCTTGTCAGCGAAGGAAAACGGGATTTTAAAGAAAGCCGAAAATATTGAAAAAACTGAGGAGTTTCTTAAGTGTTTATTAATATGCCGGACATTGGCGGGCGGGTAAAGTGATAATTTCATCAGAAAAGGATGTAGGAAAAAAAGGAAAAATTAAGAAAACGATGCAGTAATATGAAAACCGATGTCAAGAAATATTGAAAGAAAATTAAAAAATAATTTACCGGAATATTAAGATTTCCTGGAATAAATGTCCTTAAAAAATACATTTTCAATATCTCTCTCCCTTAAAAAAAAAAAAAAAAAAAAAAAATATATTCATGCTTGCGCAAAAAAATTCCAACTCACCTTATATTGTGTATTACGTCCTGGCTTCAAGAATGGTGCACGCATACCAACAACTTCATTAACCGATACATTGGCGAAGTTACGCAAAATTTCACGCATACCGATCATTTCACCAACCCATTCCTCATAACCCTTATCCTGCAAACCTTGCTGTTGTGAAATACTTTGGGTGGCGATTTCATGACCGGCATAGCCCAAATGTTGGATTTGTTGGTAGTTGCTGAAAAAAAATTAAAAAATATATAATTAATAAAAAATGCATTTTAATTAAAAAAATAAAATATCAAAATAATATAAAAAAGTAAAGGATTCCTGATAGACCTTCGATACCATAGGGTATGAAAACATGCCCTTTTAAATGGACGCTTTAAAAGGGCATGTTTTCAAAATGATAAACGTGGATTTTAAAGTCAGGATTCTAAACGTTAAACATTGATTTTTCAAGACCTTATGTAGTTGGTATCGATATTTTCTATGGATGGAAGGCCATTTAAGGTTGATCTGCTGCAGATAAAAAATATTATGTTGGTATTATGCATATATATTGAGCTTTAGGTCCAAGGCCCAGAGATTTTATACAGAAGACCTCCCGAATTACTTTTGTGAATATATTTTCCAAATGTCACCACTGTAATAGAAGATAAGTTGGTCTTCTCCAGATAGAGGGCTATTTTAGAATATTCTACAGATAGGTGATCTGGAGATAACGACATCTACAAGTCTCTAGAGTTCTTGTTATGATAGCAAATTGAGGTAAATACACTTGTATATAGAAGACCTTCTATAGATTGTCCGGAAATGTTGTACGGATGGATTATCAGTCAAATAAACTAGGACCATCTGATCTGCTACAGATTAAATACCTTCTGATAATATTCTACGGATATTATGTCTATGATTTTCCTCACAGATGGAAGATGATCTGAATATGAAGACCTCTAGAAGGCTTTCAGCAGTAGCAGATAGCAGACCTTCCGGTATATAAATAAAATGAATAGCCTTTGTAGGTAGAAGACCTTCTGTAGATTATCCGGATTTGATGTGGAGAACTCAGAGATCTCCTATAGATATATGATTATTTTGAAATGAAGACATTCAGAAGGTTTTGTGGAGTTCTTCAACGACCTTGAGGTATATAAATAATATATAGTCTGGAGATTTCCTACGGATAGGGAATTCTGCTGTAGATAAATGGATAATACACCTTCTGGAGGTCTAGACCCCAGAGACTTTCTACACATAGAAGATTATCTGAACATGATGACCTCTAGAAGGCTCTCTTGAGTTTTTGTTTTGCCGATAACATATATTGAGGTCTATAAATAAAATGAATGACCTCTGAAGATTTTCTGTATATTCTGGTGGTATTCTACAGATTGTAGATGGAGATGTAGACTATTGAGATTTTTTTTTGCAGATATAACAGCTGGCGAGATCTAGAGGCTCCTTGGAGTACTGCCGCATATATCATGCTGTAGATCGAATAACTTCCGGAGACATTCTTTAAACGGTAAAACTACTACAGGCAAAATTACTCTTCTTGATATGGATATATTAATTAGATATATGAACATATGAAATGCGTTTATAAATAGAATAACTTCTGGAGTTATAGTATACGATTTAGAAGGCCTATATAAAAATAAATTTTAGAATAACCACCAACACTACCTTCAGAAAAATTTTTAACAAGGGTCCTTGTCAGAAACCCTTTTGAAATACGTAGCGATTCTAAACTTTGAATGTCTATTAGAAAATTTTTATTGTGATCTATGTTAGGATCTATGTTAAAAGAAGTCCTTATGAATGTATTTTTTTAGATAAAAGACCGCCTATACATAGAAGACGAAGATATTCGATTAAGACATTATTCCATTAATATAGACCATGGAAAGATCCATTAGTGGTGGGGTTGTCTTTGAAGTCCTCCCACAGATTAAATGCAATGAAAATATTTTCAGCAGGTCGAAGTCCTCACGGTATGTTTTATGAACTTTTTGAAACGCGTTTATAATAGAAAATTTCCGTGAAGTTTCCAGCAGGGACTTCTGAATGCAGAAGACACTCTAATGAATTATAGAGGTACATTTATACCCTACACAACTATGTTGTTAGGGTATTATAGCTTTGTGCAGCCCCAAAAGTTTGTAACGCCGCAAAATATTGGTGGGTCTAAAGGTGGGTCTACCTTTAAGTATACCGATCGTCATATCTCGACTAGCTGAGTCGATCTAGACATATGTGTCCGTCCGTCCGTCTGTCCATTATAACTTGTAAACACGATACAGGCCACAGTTATGGACCAATCTTCACGAAAATTTGAATGTACGATGGGTTCTGGCCAATGAAGACCCCTATTGTTTTTGGAAAATATTGGTTAATATTTAGGGGATAAAATGGATCAAACACTTTATTTTTCTCGGGTTTTCAGGTCGCTCCAGAGGCCGCAATTATGACCCAAACACCGCGAATTTTTGTACGGAGAAGGGGATCGGGCAAAGAATAAGCATGCCTGTTTTGATAAGGACATAGACCCGAGAAGTTGAGGAGTGGTTGACCTTTAAATAGAATTTTTACATGGTGAAGGGGGTCGGGCCAAAGAATAAGCATGCCTGTTTTGATGAAGATCTGTTAAATGGACCCTGACTTTTGTGTGAAAAATTACAAAATTGGTATTCTATAGCGTATATATTTACCCCTGAAGGATATAGACCCAAGAAGTTGATACCAATTATATTGTCGTATGCACTCGGATGTGGGAGATACACTTACATATTTACAAGTGCTTACGTGTTCATATATTATTTAGTAATCCATTACCACACTAGAGGGCGGAAATATAACGCTGATAGCTTTGAAATTTTCATGAGGATGGTGATGATCAGATAATAATATTGGGATGAAGTGGACGGAAAACTTAATTTTTTTTTGTAGTTTTTCGAGTCGATCTATAGGCCACAATTATAAGCCGAACTTTACAGCACAACCCAAGGTGAATATTAGTAATAATTGCTGACCTCTAGTCGGTCCAGAGAGTTCAAATATCCCAAATTTTGGTCCATGCTCAGAATATGGAACCACAAAAAGTTAGATTTTCATGGAAGTTGTGTGGTCGGCCCCGTCCGACTATACTGCTCCGATCACTGGTTATAAACGAGCTAAAGCTCTCATAGATGTTTCATATATATTTTTTTTTATAGAAAATAACTATTGGTGACTTCGTTAAATGGAAGTATTTGTAGAACTTCCTTATTTTTGTTTTGGATAGACAATTTTAAAAGTATCTATTTTTAACAAGCCCAAGCAGGATATGCAAAGGTCTTTTCCTATGTGTCTTCAATCCAAGTGATATAAACCAAAGCCAATTTTTGTCCTCGATATTCCCTAAAATATTGAAAACAATAAATGCCAAACTTTCCACATATGTTTGTATGTTTTTTTTTATATTTTTGTTGTTGGCATTCTCGTATATAGCCATAATTTTTTTGGGCGGGAATTTTACACAAAAAAATAGTTATTCGCTTTCAGTTCACAAAGTATTTGACCTAATAGTTGTTATGGTGATAGTTTATGTGTTTTTTTCTGGGCTTTAGAATTTCCCATTTTCCAATTGCAATTGGTTTGAGTTTGTTTGTAACAAAAGTGGAATTGCATAAATAGGGAGGGGGAGGTGGTGGTGAAGTTACACTGCAATGGTTTGTGTGTTTGTTTGATTTTTGATGTCCATTTCAGATATCACTACGAGTTGATAAAGACACAGGGCAATTGTCGACATGTATGAGTATGTATGAATGTAATAAAATGTGTGTGTGTGTGACAATATGTTGGTAACTATTTGTTAATATTGTTGTCGTCGTTGTTGTTGTTGTTTGAATAACATCCAAAGCTTTGTTTGAAGTTTGTCGAAAAAATAGTTTTTTTTGGGTCGTAGATGACAAAAATTTGTTGTTGAAGCGAACTTTTGAGTTTAGTTTTGACATAAAAATAATATATACGTTTTATATTTTTATTTTTGGCGGATAGTTGTGGTCGAGAATTTTTTGATTTATGCCAATGGGGGGCTAAAGGGCATAAAGTGGATAAGGTTTGTAATATTTGTTTTTTGTTGCCATGTTAATATAAATTGACATTGGGGTGAAAATATTCATATAACAAAAAAAAAAAAAAAAAAAAAAACAGTAAGCGGAGCAGTATAGTCGGACGGGGCCGACCATATGATACCCTACAAAACTACCACGAAAATCAGAAAACCTTTCTGCGGTTCTATATTCTAAGCCTGGGCAATATTTCGTGATATTTTGACCCTTTTTACCGATTATAGATCAACAACTCCACTTTCTAAGTTTTGCATATTTTCCAAAATATATTTTTTGAAGTGAATTTTTACGCCATAAAATAAAAAAATTGGTCACTTTAGGTTTTGGTTGATTTGACCCTCGGAAAATTGACCGATCATCATCTAAACAGCCGCTCTAAATATTTGATCAGATCCCCTTCACCTTGTAAATTATGTAATGTTCTGCATGCAATAATTGCCTCTAGAGCGACTAGAAAATCTGACAAAATTAAAGTTTTTGGTTCATTGCTACCCCTGAATGAACTCTCAACTTCACCGAAAACTACAGGCGTCGTCCTTGACCATAATCGGAAGTTCATGTACAATTTCAAAGCGATCAGCGCGACATTTCCGTCCTCTAATGGAGTAATAGTAATACTATGCACATAGTCACCTTTACCTAATTACGGATAACTCCCACATCAGAGTACATATAACCATATAATTGGTATTAATTTCAAGGTCAACAACTCGAGTATATGTCCTTCAGGAGCAAGTATATACGCCCCAGAATAAAAATTTTGTAATTTTTCACACAAAAGTCAGGGTCCATTTGACCGGCTAAATATTGGCCGATCATTATCAAAACAGGCATGCTTATTCTTAGGCCCGATCCCCTTCTCCATGTAAAATTTCACGATGTTCGGACCATAACTGCGGCCTCTGGAGCGACCAGAAAAACCGACAAAAATTTAGTATTTGGTCCATTTCATCCCCTAAATATTAACCGATCTTTACCAAAAACAATAGGGGTCTTCATTGATCAGAACCCATCTTACATGCAAAATTTCGTGAAGGTTGGTCCATAACTGTGGCCTGTATCGTGTTTACAAATTATAATGGACAGACGGACGGACGGACACACATGTCTTGATCGACTCAGC